AAGAGAACTGAAAACATATGTGCACCCAAGAGCTTATTAAACATGAATGTTCATGGCAGCATTATGCATAACAGCTAAAAAGTGGAAACAGTCCAAATGTCCATCACCTGAGGAATGGATTAATAAAATGTGGAATATTACCGAGCCACAAAAACAAATGAAATACTGAAACATGCTGCATTGAGGAACCTTTGAAAAGTCAGGCTCAGCGAAAGAAACCAGGCACAAAAGGCTACATGCTGTGTGATTCCACTTAAGAGAAACGTCCAAACTAGGCAAGTGCACCCAGACAGACAGTAGAATAGTGGTTTGCAGGGGCTGGGGAGAGAGGGGAATGAGGAGTGACCTCTAATGTGCATGGAGGTTTTTTTTAGGGTGATAAAAACATTCTGGAATGAGGCAGTAGGTGATAGTCACACAACCTAGGGAATGTGCTGAATGCCGCTGAGTTGTATGCTCTAAATGGGTGAATTTTATGGTATATGAACTATATCTTAATTAAAAATAAATAAGTACTAAAAGCTAGATCATTTAAAAAATAAAAATAAAACGAGCAGGCCTTTTGAGAGCAGGATGTTCAGAAGAAACCTCCTGGGAAAGTGAAGTTTGGTTTGGGCCCCAGAGAAAAGAGAGGGAAGTCAGAGGGCACCACTGGCAGAGGGAACAGGGTGAACAGGGCTGTAGAGTCCTAGGTCAAGAGCAGGCGGGAGACCTACTTGGCTGGAACAGAGGTGGCAGGGGCCTGGAAGGCAGGGTGGTCCAGCAGCAGAGGAGGGAAAGCCAATAGCAGTGAGCTGTGGACATCCGTGCCAAGCTCAGGAGCCGGAACACGCTTCTCCCGGCAGTGGGGGCATGGCAGGAAGGCTGCGGGGAGGGGTATGCACACCTAGCCCTGCTTTAGAAGGGTGAGCCTAGCTGCAGTTTGAAATAGATTAACGAGGAAGGGACCAAAGCAAAGGATTGGGAGCATCTGAGTATGCACAGCCCTGCGCTAGAGGCTGCAGGGAAAGGGGGGGAAACCCAGCAGACATCGCCTCCTGCCCTCAGGGGATACATAAACAAAACCTTGCATCTCTTTAGCAATTTACAGTTGGACATAGCTTTTGCTTTGACGAGCTCCTTGACCTTTGAGACAATTTCTTTTTTTTTTTTTTTTTCCTTTTTTTGTCTTTTTTTACTGACTGGCAATGGGATCGCAACCCTCGGTGTTGCACCCGCACCGCGCTCAGCCAGTGAGCGGGAACCGGTCTCCACATGGGATCTGAACCCTGGGCGAGAGCGCCACCGCGCTCCCAAGCAGCGCACTCTCCAGTACGCCACCGGGCCGGCCCGAGACAATTTCTGAAAAGAGCAGAGCAGTTATCATTAGCTCCTTTCACAGAGAGAGAAAGCGAGTCTCAGAGAAGTTCAGTCACTTGCACAGGGCTCCTACGTGGCAATTAGGAGAAGTCAGATCCTGGACTCACAGTTCCTCCCAAGGCTGACCTGTTCTTGGGGATACAAAGAACAGACACCAGGAAGTAACTAAACAAAAATATAGTGCAATGCAAATACATGATAGCCAAAGACATGCCTAAAATTATCAAGAATCACACAGATCAGTGCCAGGTTGCACTTCTGTCACCTCAGCAAGTGTTTGAAGTATATTTCCTTTGGCTCTTTCTATGGCTAAGCAGAAGATCAAAAGAGTTTGTGCAGAAGTTTTGAACCTGGCTCAAACCCCACCTCCACCATTTGCCAAATGACCTTGGACTCTACTTCTTGGAGCTTCGGGAGGACAACACACTTGGCCCACATGAGATCTGCCACCATGCAATTCTGCACATAAAACCAGAAACACATAACACAGTACCCAGTCCACTGAGGTGGCTGTTCAATAAGTAAACGGGAGTTTTAAAAGGTTTACAAGAAGGAGGTACCATTCTTTGGGCACAAACAATATTCCAGGACCTTCATATGTCCTTAATCTTTACATCTTACATGTTTACATCTTTACATCTTATTACCCCCATTTTACAGATGAGAAAATTGAGGTAAACAGGTACATTAGCTTGCTCAAGGTCACACAGCTAATACATGGGATAATCATGGTTCTGGTCTGGCTTCGAAGTCGTTACTTTTTGCTTCGCCACACAATTTATGGTGATGTCAGAATTTGGTCATAAAACGATTCTCATCAAGGCACAGAGTCTGACTTACAGGCTCAAATTACGACCTGTTTCAGAGCTACTGTGACCTGCTAATGAACTAGAAGCTCCTGTCTGCTTACAGGACATTGGTCTGGATTTTTCCGGAGCTGGCTTATCTCTCCCCTCCCACTGCTTTGAAGGATTTTTAGATCAAAGTTGCAGCCACTCTCCTGGGGGATAATCCTGTTCCCTGTAACCTTGTTTTCTGAGTGTCCTTCACAAAGAAGGTGCTTCAGCAAAAACTTTCTCCCTCAGCCCCATCACCCAATTTTTCTCTTTCTGAAGCTTTCCATCAGGTCTCAGTATGGAATGGTACGAGGCCTGCTTTCAGATACACTTCTTTGCCGAGGAGCTGCCCAGAATATATTAGCCAGTCTTTAGAAAGTGCTATGATATGCTACTTGCACATCCTCATCTTATTTTCTACTTCAGTCCTTCTTAAACACCATCTCCTCCTTCCTCCCTGAGAGTTGGCATCTTCTAACACTTGCCCACTCCTGGGAGAAGGCCCATCTCTGCACAAGGAAATCCTCCAGGTAAGAACTTACAAGATTCTAAGACCCACACCTAATCGGCAAGTAGAAAACTGAACCACAGATATTTTAAATCATCCAAGGAAAGCAGAAGTCTGGTAGATCCAGAAGGATTATAAATAACAAGACAAGACCTAAGAGGTGATGGCAGAAATAATCAACAAGTATTATTGTTGGTGAGGAGCCAGGAGCTGCTGGGGAGGGTGTTGGCTGTCCGTGAAGTGTGGCTTGCTGGAGAATCCTTCCTGCCTTATGCAGTCTTTAGAGATCCCTTGGCAAGCCCTTGGGACCTTCTCTCAGGGAAAGCTCTCTGCATTTGGAGACACGGCCCGCTACCTAGTCTTCCCTGTCATTTCCTGGGGTTCGGAGGAGCCACTAAATGTCAAAAGGGAGAGGTACTTGAAACTGCGCAATTTTTACATTCTTTTAAGGCATGTGGATATTACTTTGGCCTTTTTCTTCTGCCAGTCATCTTTAACAGCTGAATCTAAAGAACCATCTTTCCCAACATTGTCCCCAACACACACACAACCCTCCTGTCCAACTCAAACAAAAACTCCACCCAGGCCTACTGGATCAGTCTGTTTTGTGTGGCTTATAACAGAATACCTGAAACTGGGTAATTTATAAAGAAATGAAATTTATTTCTTACAGTTTTGAAGACTGGGAAGTCCATGGTCCAGAGAGTACTTCCAGTGAGGGCCTTCTTCTTGGTGGGGACTCTCTGCAGAGTCCTGTGATGACGCAGGCTATCACATAGCAACAGGGCTGAGCAAGAGCACACTCATGTGCTGTCCTTATAAAGCCACCAGGCCACACCCATGATAACCCATTAATCCATCAACCCATTAATGGAGGAATCCATTGAAGAGGGCAGGGCCCTCACCATCCAATCACCTGTCAACACTGCCACACTGGGGATCAAGCTCCCACATGAGCTTTAGAGGGGACACACCCTCAGACCACAGCACCCACTAAATCAGAAACCCTGGAGATGGGGTCCAGCAATTGCTGAATCACCTGGTGAGCTTATTAAAATACAATCTCCTGACCTCCACACCTAGGGATCCGATTCAGTGATTCTACATGGAGCTGAGAATTCTATTTGCATCAAACCCGCAGATGGTGCTGCTTGGCCAGTGAGTAGCTCTGGTCTAGGTGGCTTCCTGCCTGCCTCCAGGGCACAAATATCTTATGTAAGTGAAGTGGCAAACCCTGTACAAAGGAAAGGCCACTGCAGACCAGATGGCAGGAGGGGAGGAGTAGAGGAAAAGAGAGAGGAAAGGGAAAAGAAACTGACTTCAGAGCAGAGCTCAGGTTCCCTTCTGGGACGCAATGCCTGGAAAAGAGACGTGCTCCTCCTCTCACACCACATCAATGATTTTTTTCTTGTTATTTCGATTTCTCTGTTTCTGGCCCATATTGGTAGTTAGTTATTACTAGCTAATGCCTGTTGATTGAGGCCTAAGCATGGTTTCTCATGAGCCTTATAAAAATGATGGTACAAGACCTGGAACAACAGAAAGATAAAAGGAACAAAAGCCCAAACCCAAGGTCAGACTCCTGGGGCTGTGGGATCTGGGGCTGGCCACCCTGCCTCTGGAAACTCAGAGAGGGTCTCGTGCCTCCCTGTCTTCACGCTAGTCCTGTCCACACAAAATGTGGTCCCCAGTGTTCAAACTTTTCAGCAGGATCCAGGATCCCGGGGAGGGCTTGTTAAACACAGATCACTGGGCCCCAACCCCAGGGCCTCTGCTTCAGGACCTCTGGGATGGGGCGGGCCAAGAATCCACATTTTTAATAAGCGCCTGGTGATGGGGTTCCTACTCACCGCACTGCAGAACCTCTGTGTGTCTGTCCAAAACGATACCAGAAGTCAGGGTCATGTGGACCAGCAGCCACCAGGAACCACTCAAGAAAGGTAAGGGCTCCCAGCCCAGCATAAAGGCGTAGGGAGGTCCCAACCTGGCTTTCTGCACCGCGCAGGAACGGCTGCGGCAGTGCCTGGCGGCTCACTCTGGAATTGCCACGCGTTCCGGCTGCGAGAGCCCCTTAACCCCACTGCAGGCGGACACTTACACCTTCCTCTCAGCATCGCGTCAGGCACGGTTTTGGCTATAGACGTTTCACCACCTCATACTTTCACCGCAAGACGTGACTTCCAGGCTCCTCGACAGCGATGGCCTAAGTGCTGGTCGACTGGACTCTGGGCTTGTGGGGGAGCAGGTGCAGCCGGTCTCATGGTGTCCTTTCTCTCCTCTCTTCTCCCCGCCCGCAGTGCATTCCCAGAAGCAGAACCGGCAGACCTGCGTGCGGAAGAGCCTCATCTGCGCCTTCGCCATGGCCTTCATCATCAGCGTCATGCTCATCGCCGCCAACCAGATCCTGCGCAGCGGCATGGAGTAGCAGCCCCGCCCCGCGTCCGCACGCCCGGCCCCGCAGACGCGGACACGGACCTGCGGACGACGACCGACCGACCGACCGACCGACGCGCGCTCAGCAGAGAACCCCAGGTTGTGGTGCAGCGGGGGTTGCCCATCACCTTCATCTCCTTGGCAGGGTCACAAAGGGCTGACTTCAGTGCTTTAATGGTCTTGTTTCCTAATGCAATAAATAGCCAGGAGTTCCGAATGATTGCTTCAACCACCAGTAGTAACTCTAAAGAAAAGCTCCATTCCCATGCCGGAATTCCAGTGGCCATCCAGGTGTCACGGTGACAGAGCAAGAGAGAGGCGCGAACACGCAGTCACCTCCGGTCCCCATTCTTGCAACCCAGGGGTCAGCAGCAGACTCCCTGCTGAGGTCACCCCTCGGTTCCAAGAGGCTGACCCCCTGGGCTGCTGCAGAAGACGGGGCTTTCCGTCCCACCCCGGCTCCCTTCCTCCACCCGTGGAGACCCCCGAGGCACGCGGGGAAAGCCACCCGGGGGCGCGGCCCTGGTGTGCACTGCGCCCCCGCCGCTTCCGTTCTCCCCGCCTGTCCTCCAGGACCCCTGTCGGTGGAGCTGGCGCTCTCGGTTCCCGTCGCACTCGGCTTTCTGCTCCTAGAGCCCACCCCGCACCAGCATTGTGGAACCTGTAGAGAGCCTTCCTCCAGCTTCGCCACCTGTGCTGCCATTCGGGAAAAAGAAGCAAATCGTCCTGGGCACCTCCATAACAGACACACAGACAGACGGACACACACGGCTCCTTCGCGTGCGACGTCGTCCTTCCCCAAGGCTTATCCGGATGTGAGCTGGCCCGCCCTCCCACGCTCACCCCTGCTTATCTGGGCCGGGGTGAGAAGGTTGGGGGCGGGGAGGGACTGAGACTGGGGGTGAGCAGGAGGTGGCAGCCTGCACCCCCCGCGGTCTGGGGTGACAGAGGCCACCTCTGTGAGTTAAGGTCCTCGTGCATCTGATCTTTTCCTCATCTTGGACTTTGTTTTGTAAGTCTGCCCGAGCTAAAAAGAGAAATACAATCCAAAGGGGAAAGACGGAAAAACCAAACCGCTGTATTTCACAGGATAACTCTGGCATTCAGATTTTGCAACTGACTCGTTTTCATGAAAAGAGAGAGGTGGGGGAAAGAGATGTCAATGAGCTTTTAGCCAGCCTGACAGGTCATCTGCTCCTGCCTGCAGGATACTTCGCTGGGGAAGAGAACTGAGTGCGGTGGTCCATTTTCAACACCATTTCAAGTCTGTCCTTTCCTGACTTTCCCTAGGTGCCCGATCAGCCCCCACAGTCACGCTACCGTAGTCAGATGAGCCGATAATCTCTAGATGTAATATTTCCCTTCGTGCTTTTCTGAGCTCAGGTCTGCATTTCTGTAATGGAATTGTCTTGCTCCTATTTCTTTCTCTCGCATCCTCAAGCTAGATGCTTCCCCCCTTTCTCCCAGCACTGAGGCACCAGAACCTTTGCTGTCTGATGCGGCAGGGAGGCTCCTTGGTGCGGTGTGTGTTCCTGAACCCTCCTCAAGCCCGTTTTCCCTCAGCCTTCTCCCTACTGCCTTGTTAGACTTGGAGCACCCCAGGTCTCCGTTTAGGGTCTCCTTCCAGTTCACCTCTGCTCCCGGCAGCAGCCTGGGGGCAGCTGCAGAAACTTCCCACTGTGGGAGTGCACGAATATTCACGATGAGCACAAGCAACACTAGGGTTTGAGCCATAGCAAGCAGGAAGGAGCAGAGCCCGGGGGTGCGAGTGCCTCTGTGAAGGTGCCCGGGGCCGGCACACCCAGCCAGGCCAGCGGCAGCGGCCCGCCTTCCCCCTCACCTGCCCCTGCCCTGGCGCCGAGCAACTGCACGCCCGCCCCTGCTGTCTCTCTCCTTGGCTCACTCACCACTGTCCCTAAGGATCGCAGTCCTAAACTAGAACAGGTCCCAGTGCAGTATACTGACACATCGTGGGGACAAGTTCATCCCTAGCTTCTGCCCCGGGCAGTTCACCCTCTCCCTACTGGGCGTGGATGGGAGGGAGCAGCAGATCTCACAGAGACACGCTTCCTTATCTCTCCCTGACCCCTGAACCACTAACCCACGTCCTCCTGGGGACAAGAGTGCAGGACCTTGGGTAGTCTGGGTAGAAACACAGAGAGATTCTTAAAGGACCCCGCCCATGAGAGGGATTTCCTTGGCTGCAATGGAGGCTGCCCTTGGGGCAGAAAGTGAGTATTTCTTCAAAGGCTGCTTTTCTGCACCTTCTGCCTCCCACCAGAGAACAGAGACCCCGCAGGATGAGGGGTTAGAGTTCACGTGCAGAGAGACGAGTGCAGGGGTGAGGTAAGAAGTGTTCTCGAGAGGCACCGACAGCCTGTTCCCTACAAAGGCCTCAGCGTCCCCTCCTTAAAGGGGATAGATTTCCTCTCCCCCAGGAACCTGGAAGCAAGTCCATCCTACCCAGAAGAAAACAGGAGAATGTGTCCCTGTGGGTGTCGCTAGGGGATGAGAGCGAGAAGGGAGACACAGAATTCTTGTGGATGGCCTAGAACTTAAACTCCCACCATGATAACCTCTCACGTAGCACCCAGAGGTTGGAGGACGCAGTGTGTGGAAACAGCCCTGAGCTAGTGGCATTCCTTTGGGAGCTCAGAGTTTGTCCCCGTGCCTTGTACCCTGGCTGCTTTGCTTGGATGGTCTGTCTTAGATATATCTAAGGTGATGGTCTTCTTTGTCAGGCAGCCCTGTTCACAGAAATGCTATGCCAGGGCCCCACGCCAGTCAGTGTCCTCATCACAGTAGCTGTAATACTTGTGGCTGAAGATTCCAGAAGGTTCTGGGCCCCCATACCTCAGGAGTGCCATGTGACCTCAGCTGGAGATAACCTCTGTAGAAACTGAGGAGGAGGAGCCCAACCCTTACTCTGTCCTCCCAAACTTAAGAGTCAGTGTCCTGGGCTGCCAGCCGTGGGGTGGCTGAATGATTGGCAGACGCAGCTTGGCTCATTGTTACTGCAAGGGCAAGGACCCCCCCCCAGACCACACGAGTGACATCAGGGAGGCATTTTACTTGGGAGAGAAAAGGAAGTGGGCCCTGGCCCTCTTGACCCCCAAAGATTAAATGCCTCCCACCATTGCAGATGCAAATAGGACCCCACGTCTCATTGGAACTATTAGCAGTGACTTCCAGAATGTGCCCGGGTCCCATGTGATCAATCTGTTAAAAAAAAAAAAAAGCGGAGGGAGGGGGATGGTATTGCCATGGCAACCCTTGCATTCCACCCTGAGTGCCAAGGCACACAAAGAATAGGAAACATTTTCTTAAAGAACACTTCGATTCTGCCTGATTGCAACCTGACTCCCTGCATTTATGTCCTGCTGGGAGGGGAAATTGCCCTCAAAGAGTCCAGGTGGTTTCTCTGCCTTTTCTCTTGCGTTTGAATTTGTCCTTCCATTTACTCAGGAGAACAGGAGCTTCCTGTAAGCCCGGTAGTACCCTCCCCACCCATACCTCTAACCCCCTCTCAGGGCCCCCAGCAAGGACCTCTTCATCTAGGCAAAAAGGCAGAAATATCCTGTAGAAGGCAAAAGTGTCTGTTTGCCTGTTGAGAAGCTCTCCCAGAAGCCAGAAAAGTGAACTTGAGTGAAGCAAGGTTTACACGTGGTTTCAGGCAAGCTCAGTGGTTTCAGAAGTTCCGAGGTGTTTTATTTGCAGAGAACAAGATGTGCACTAGGAGGCTTCCTCCTCCATACCAGCCCGTCTCAAATTTCACACGACAAATGGTCGACTGTATTGTGGTTATCGAAAAGAACCTAATGAAGGATGGGCACCTCGCTTTGACAATAATGCGCCTTCCAGCCTCCCATCCGCCAAATCACAAAGCGATCTGTCTAAGAACTGGGAGAGGAAGTTTCACCTTTAATTCCAAATGCCTCCTACCAGGCTTAAGTCTAGACTCAGGTCATAAATGAAAGAGAGATGTGCACGTTGCTCTTAACCTGTAGTTTTCAGCTGCTGGGGGGACCCCAGGAGGGCACGACCGAAAGATTAAAGAGGTGACCACCAAGGACAGCTCCCTGGGTTGGGCTGGCATGGCTCTGCGTGGCCGCGGGCAGTGGGATCTCTCCGCGGAGCCCTGCTGTCCATGCTTATGGACACTGCTGAGCTCTGCTTCTCAAACCACGCTGGGCCGTTTTACTGACCTGACAGTTTCCCCAAAGGCCCACAGTAATCGTGTCATTCATCCCGTCCCACTGAGCTACACGGTGGGTCTGGACCCCCCCCCTTCAAGGGGGGCCCCCTTTTCCTATAAAGCCATGATGATGCAGATGAGCTGAGATTAAGCTTCTAGACTTTGGCACAAACTGGTGGAGTTACCAGGACTGCAGACCTGCGTTCCCTGGAGAACATCCATCTGCAACGACCTCAGATTGGAGCTTTCTCGTTGCCTTTTAAGTAATTCACAGGGGACTTTGAGTCCATAACCTAAAGGCCTTTGCTGCAGCCATCCTCCCTCACCACCTGACCACTCAACTCCTGCAGAAGGGAAAAGTCTGGTAGAGATAGAAAAGAAGCATTCTTCAGCTGCTAGGCTTTTCAATTTGAATTATTTAAAGTGATGGCAAAACAGAGCATGCCTCTTATGGACCCTGTCTCCATGTAATTTAAGTGTCAGGACTGTTCAGCTTCACTTCTTACTTACTTCGACTAAATCACTCGGGGGACTGTCCTCAGTTATGTGACCTTGCAGTAGGTTTGGAGGAACAAGGTCAGGTACACCAACCAGCCAAGTGTTTCCCTCAGTATCCTGTGCTCATTGCTAATGGGCATGGTCATTTTAACAGCTATGGTTTCTACATAATATTGGGGTGGGACTCGCTTCGTAGGGTCTCAAGGGACATGATAATAATACTCAAAATACACCACAAAGAGCAGGTTTTTCCAGGCCTGCTAAGATAGTCCTCTGAAACTGGACAAAACCCACCCAGCCCCCTGCCCCCTGCCCTGGGTAGTTTATCACTTGAGCACACCCCACGTGCTGGGCACAGTGTCCCCTGCCTCATTTCCTCAGGCACGATGGGTTGACTTTCAGATCAGTGCTTCTCACACCGTTAGAAAGTGAGGACTCCAAGACTGGAATTTTCCAGTGGAGCAGAAGAGCGCTAGTGAGAAAGGCATGTTCCAGGGGGGGCAAAGCTCGGCCGTGAGGTTCTC